GTTATTAAACTAGTTGGATAATTTATTTAATAAAATAAAAATATAACAAAATAAAATAATAATAATAAAATAAATAAACTATTAAGGTGAAGATGAAGATGATATAGCAGATTCAGGTTCATTGAGTTTCTCAGGATCTATTTTAACTTGTTTTTAAGATTCATGATTAATCTCACTCTTACATTTTCTACGATTTCTAAATTTTGAATTGATAGCCTCAATTATTACTGATTCATTGAGTCTCAAAAAATCAGTAACTTTGAGATTTTTAAACTTATTGATAGTATATGCCTCTTATGCAAAATTCTTGTCAGGTTCTGTTAGTTGTAGAATTTATTAGTAATAGTTAAATAGATCACAATTTTGAATATGATTTCATGATCTGAGCAGTTAGGAAATATATGAAATCCTTCATCATATGTAATAAAATGAAAATTTTTCAAATCTAATTTGGTCTCTTCAAATACTTCTCGCTTAACACAATCAACAAATGATTCATATAGTTCTAAACCACCTCCTGCTATTTGATAATACATATAATAATCTTTACTAGGATTATTTCTATAACTTATTCAAATTTTTTTTTCAGAATTTACTATCAAACATAACACATAGTATTGACATTCTCCTTCATATTGATCAATTATTTTCTTGTTTATTTGCATTAAATTAGTTTGTTCCATGAGTTTGACTTTAATCTCATTATTAATCTGGTCCTTGTTAATAGAAATACTATTACTATACATGCTTGCAACAGAATTGAGCCAAGATAGACATGATGAAAAGGATAATTGAGAAGCAGAATATTGATTCTTTGCAGTGTTGTATTTTTCAGACATTGTTAAGATGTTTAATAAAGAGAATTACACAAAAAAAAATTTAATCAGTTATAAAACTAATTAAAGAGAATTACATTTGGAACTTGAAGAATCATCTATTCTAAGTTCACTATCACTAAAATATAATTTGTCATTTAGAACAATACCATTCTGGTTTTTTAGATAAGTGAACTTGTCACACTCTATAAAATCATCTGTGTCAGTTTCATGATATGTATTAGTAGAACAAGATGAAACTTGAGACTCTTGTGAAAGAGATTCTAAATCAAAATCCTTAGGTTCTATTAATTGATTTTTACATTTAATGCATTCTTTATTTAAATAGAAATTAGTGCATTTCTCACAATAATATAAAAATTCTGAAACAATCTTGTTTTTGCAACTATTAAATTGTTTTCGTAAATGAAAATAGTTGCATTTTTCACAAAAATATTTGTTGATTTTTGGTTTTGATTTTAGTTTTGGCTTTAGTTTTCAACATGATATATTATAATTTGGACATGCTAAATTTTGAATTTGAGCATTACGTCTAACTAATATTTTAATACCATTATATATTATTTTTTCAGTGTAATAATTACATGTTGGAGCCATTTTACCTGTTTAAAAATCTATTCAGTAATTACTGAATAGAATTATTTATTTGATAATAATATTTGATAATTGTAAATTAAATAAAATAAATGAAATTAATCCTTTTGCTTTTTAGGAACATGTTTTTTTTTCTTATTTTCTACTTCTTCTTCTTCACTTTCTTCTTCTTCACTTTCTTCTTCATCATCAGTAGTAACTCATCTTCTTTTATTTACTTTAACTCTTAATTCAAGCTCTGATAAATGCTTAAAATATGTATCAATCACAAAATCACGTTCTTGTTGTGCTTCATATTTAGGACTATATAAAATCTTTTCTTTACAATTCTTGGCTCTTTCATAATTTGAATCTTCTCTGTCATAAACTAAATTATAATTAAATTCTATCTTAGTTATCATATTACATCTAAGTTAATAAAATTCTTTAAGTTTTATTAAAAAGATTAATTTTTCTCTTGGATCATCTTTACAAATTTTGTTTAAGCAAGTTTTAAACACATGTTCACTAAGATCTTGATTTTTATCAAAAATCAAATTAGCTTTATAAGTTTTTGGTAATTCTTGTTCGGGTTGAAGAGGTAACTGTTGAGACATTGTTAATAAATGTTTTGAATTACATAAAAAAAAATCTAGTTGGTCATAGACTAACTAGATAAATTTATTTAATAAATAAAATTAAATAATAAAAGATTAAAAATATTGAAAATTAAAATAATTTAATATGAATAAAACTAAAATAATGATGATTATCCTATAATAGCATTGATATGTTATACCAAGTATCTTTTTAAAAACTTGAATTAAAATCATATCAACAACTTCAGATAATGTTAATTTGGTTGTATCAATCTTATAT